TGCGCACAAAACATTAATCTCAAAACTGAGAAGAGATGCTGCGCACAAAACATTAATCTCAAAACTGAGAAGAGATGCTGCGCGGAACAATAACCACAAATGACTGTACAATACATACACCAGTGGCACAATGGCAGGCCCCAGGGTGGGGGAACAGTCTCAGGTAGATTGGGTGTCTATTTTTTCCTTCTGCCTCCACATTCATTACATCTATAATCAGGTCACAACCTAGTTAAAGTCTTTATGAAATAAACTGCTGCACTGCAGGCGAGAATATGTGAAGAGTATAGAGTGGCAGGGTGTGGAAACCTATCGTCACACACACACACACACACAGTGGCAAACACCACGAATTCTCCGACTAAAAAACCTGAGCGAGGGCGAGTTGTCTTTTTATGTGAAGTGTACACATTAGGGTCTATGTAATTGAAGAACGAATGGTGGTGTATAATTTGAGTCATCACAGAGAGAGTGAATGAAGAGTACATGGAGGGCACGGTGTTACTGTAGTGTGGGAAAGAAAGAGGTGTGTTTAAGGGGTCAAAAGTGGGGAGGATTGCGTGATGCACCACCAGGGGGCAGTAGAATAGTTCCCACAAGAACCGTGGGGCTCCACTGTCAGGATGCAGGTCACACTCTTAGTTATCTCCCCTTGTTTCCTTCTCTTTCTTCAGGCCTTTGCTTTTCTTCCTCTCATCTCTAATTCTGCTCACCCTCTTCCTCCTTCATTCCCTGTTTCCCCAGTTTTCAGTCTCAAAGCACAGACAGTCCGCACAGACCCACCTCTGAGTTCTCGACTACTAACCAAACTTACTGTTCACGTTTGAAGGCCCACTCATGAGAGATGTGAGGCCGGCGTGATGGAAGAAGTGAGTTGAGTACAGTTAGGTAGGTAGGTGGGTGGTGGGGGGGGTTGAGTGAGATGCACCAGAGAGGATGTGCTGTATTTTCGGTGGGAGCCAGGAGTGTGGGTTGTAGGTGAAGTGAGGTGGTCTTCACATTGTGTTGACTTTGAAACACAAGATCTCGTGGCTGGGATGAAACGGCTAGAACAAACGTCTGGCCAAAAGCTCTAGTTTTTGCTCCATGAGCGCCGCTTGCGGTTTTAGGGAAGCCGAAAAGTGTGATGGGAATTTGTCTTGTGTTCAGTTGTGGTCATTTATGAGGCACAGGGGTGTTAGTGTTTGTGGCTCGTTGTGGGTGTATGTGTGTGTGTGTGTGTGAGCCTGTTGATGTGTGCTATTAAACTCTGAGATTTGGTGTCAGCAGTATAGTGGATGAAGTACTTAATACAGCAAAGTTAATATAAGTTAAGTGTCAAAAAGTGAAAGTACTTAAATATTATCAGCTAAAATGTACTTTAAGTATCAAAAGTAAAAGTAAAATTGACCCTGTGACTGGTGTAATATGTTATTAGACTTGTTAGTGATGATTCAACAATGTGTAAACAGCATTTTACTGTTTAGTTTTCAGTCAAGTGGTTTCCAGCCTAGGGGTCGGGCTCCTTCCAAAGGGTCACAAGATAAATCTGAAGGGTCATGAGACGATCAATGGGAGAGGGAGGAAAGAAAAAGTAAAGTTCACAAATCTGTTTTCTGGAGTAGGGAGAGAGGTTTTCTTTCCGTCATCTAAATTCAGTTTCAGCTGCTTTTTCACCCAGATAATAAAGGAAAAAGAGAAAAGCTGCATCTAAAGATATCAACCCATCATGCATCATTTTAAAAGATCAGCACTTTATAATGAAATCTGTGGAATCTTCATAAAACAGTTTTTCATTCTGATTTATTGAGTTTTAGTCAGTATAGTTTGTAGTTAATCTGAATCTGATGTCTTTGAACTCCTCGCTCTTTGTTGATTTGTTTTAAAGGACTTCTATGATAGATTCATGTACATATACGTACCATTCGCCACTATCTTGGTCATAGCCTCAGTTTGAGGAGGCGAGGTTTCTCCTAACATCCCAGGAGCAGGGCTAAAAGTTGCCATTTCCATGATGACGTCAACCTGAGCAGAAACGAAGGAAAGAATATGTTGAATATTTTTTGGCAGAATATTTATCAAATATTCATAAAAATGAAGGAAGATCTGAGATGTTTTTCACAGAAATGAATTAAAACCAGTTCCTGCTTTAATAAACAACTGGCTCTATGTGATTTGAAGTTAACAGGAACTGGTTCCAAAGTAAACACCTGCACACCTGAGTCACATGCATGCATTTGTTTCCACTCTGTTTGAAGTGAAAATATACATAACCACTGGTATCATCATCTAAACATCCAAACTAACAAGCAGCTCCAGGATTATGTTCATGTTTTTTTCTTCAAGAAATAATGGAGTGTTTTACAGGATTTCCCCTCCTGAATTATGAAGCGGAGGGAGTGACTCCAAGATGGATCCGAAGTGTCAGTGTTTGTCTGCATAACAAGAGTCACGCTTCACAAAACTATCTCTGAGCTGCAGAGCATTAAGGTTATTTTTATCTGATTTCAGTCCTCCAGGCTCTGATACACACCATTACAACGGCTGTACTTCTCTGACTGTCTCATCAAGCCTGCAGCAGAACTCAGCTGTACACATAACTTCAAATAAGCGAGCACATCTACGCAGCAAAGTTACATTTAATGAATTTACCAGCACCATTTTAGAGATTATGGGCTGATCACTTAAAGAAAACTGAAGGTGCAACAGCTGTAACAGGCTGTCAGTTCCAACAGCAGCTTCTAAAATATCACAAAACATTTTAAAAATAAAACCAAAAAAAAAAACTCACCAGTTATGAGAATCTGCAAGCAGCTCTTCATTCACTAAGAACAAGAAGAAACACAACAAGGCATATGCTGGACAACACACACACACACACATACACATACACACACAGATGGGTGTGGTGTCAGTCCCCAGGGTCGAGATCTGTTCCCCCTCCGGCCAATCGCGAGGCTGACTCCACCCCTCTGATGCTAAACAGCCTGCAGATGTCTGAAACTGTGCAGCTGACAACGCCTCTTACATCATCTGTTAACACACACACACATACACACACACACACACACACACACACACACACATACAGGACTCTCTGTGTGTGTGTGTGTGTACACAGTTGAATCGTTTAACCTCCAGTCTGTTAATTAATGAAGATCCTCGCTCTGCCATTATGTAGCATGTTGCAGGAGTTACTGCTTGTGCCTACGTTTCCCATAATGCATCATAACAACCAGCGCAGAGTATCATAGAACATAGTTTTAATGTGTGGATGTTTTGTTCCCTGGCAGTGTTCAGGGGCTTTTCCCACACTGCTGCTGGACCCCAGGCTGCAGAGATATTCCAGTACATGTATACAACCTGCTAACTGCATGGGGTTAGCATAAAGTGGGCATGTCGGTAAAGGGGAGACTCGTTTTATTCAGATGTCTCGAGGTCAGAGGTCACGGGATCCTTTTGAAAATGGCCATGCCTGTTTTTACATTCCCAAAATATACCTTAACTTTGGAGCGTTATTTGGCCCCTATTTGGCTTGCTAGCACGATGTTGGTACCGATGGATCTAGTTTCATATGAAACCATATGATGATATATATATATATATGCTGATATAGGCCTAAAGCATATATTTAAAAAGTTTTCTTATACCCCTTAAAATCAGCGGCGACACCTCGTGAAGCTTTGGCCGACCCCTAGTGGGGGCCCCGAGCCCCAGGTCCACGGAGGACATGAAGGTCCCCGATACAAGTCCTACCAAAACCTGCCATTTATTGTTGATGTTTCAAATGACTAATCAATATTCTGTGATCAAACTGATATTCTGCACACGTTGTCTCGTTTAATCAGAAATATACAGTGACCCTTTTTTCCTTCAGGTAACAGGTGTTAATCATTTCCATTAAGTTCAGTTTAATGAGGTCTGTGGGGAATCACCTGCACTCGGCTCACACCTGAAGGCTGTAAGAGATTAGAAAATAATAATGACTCACTCTGAGTTCATTGTTCTCTCAGAAACTGGACTTAATACTGTGGGAAAATGCCTCAGACTCACTCTACAAGCTACTGCTACGGCATAAGAGAGATGTTTTGGCTTTCTTGTTTCTCACTGAAAGTGAATGTAGAACCTCTGAGTACAATGGTTCCCAACCTGTGGGTCAGGACCCCCACTTGCGGTCGCCAAAGCTTCACAGAGAGTTGCTTCTAGATTCTGAACGGTGTAAGGAAAC